TCCAGGATTGTCCCATGATGGCTTTTTTAATGGACATCTACTGGAGATTGTCAAGTGAGTGCAGATTTCACTCGTGTCTGGGGCTTCTAGAGATTCTGTACTGTTATTCTGTCCCACACATGGCCTTTAAGAAGTCATGGAAATTTGTTATTTTCTTCTTACTTTTATGATGTTTGCCTTTTTTCTCTGTCCTTTGCTAAAGGTGAAACACTTAGTTGTCCTCTCTCTCCCTGAATACCACCCCCCCAACCCCCTTTTGGTATTCAGAGTACCTGTTCACTTGTAACCTCAGCTCTTTGATGAACTTTTAAAAGTTAGAATTTGGGGCTGGCCCTGTAGCCTAGTAGTTAAGGGAGCTATATTGCATATGGCCCACACAGTTCCAATTCCAGCCCCCTTGGCTTGTAAAACATCTTGGATGTGTTTGTGTGCGTGCTGAAAATCCTGACAGGATGAAGAAATGGGAGGAGAAGGGAATTTGGTGTGACCACACCCTAATTGGGGAGGGAGGGTGGTGGCTTTCTTGCTCTTGGAGTGCATGTGCCCCTTGTCAACCTAAAGAAAAAAGTTAAGATTTTGTAGGTGATTGAGCCTATATTCATTATAGAGTCAGTGCAATGTTCTCTTATATCTTTCAGCTTTATAAACAGAAGCAAAACTAACTTACTTCTTTGTAGTAGCTTCCATTTTGATCCTTATTATTATGTTTCTATTTTCATTTAAAACTTGGGTTTACTTACAGTAGGTATTTTAGCATTATTTGTCTACCATCTGTCAGTTTTGTGCTTTTTTCCCAGTGACTCTAATTGTACTACTTATGGGTTATTCACTGTATAGTTTTCTTCATTTCATCACAAATTACCATAATCTTAGTGGCTTAAAACAACCCACTCTGATTAAATCAGAGGAGCTAGGCATAGCTTAGTTGAGTCCTCTGTTCATGGTTTCAAAAGGCTATAATTAAGGTATCAGCTAGGCTATATCTTTCATATAAATGTTTGAATGAGAATGAATCTGCCTCCTCACTCGTTCAGGTTGTTGGCAGTATTTGTTTCCCTGGGCCTTATCACTGAAGGCCTGGCTTCTCACTAGATGTCCACTGGAGGGCTGCCCATAGTTCCAGGAGACCATCTAGTGTTCTTGCTGTGTGGGTTTCCTTACCACGTTCACTTCATAATGCCAGCAAAGAGAATCTCTAAACTCAGGGATGGCTCAGCTCCTTTTGTAAGGGCTTTCACTTAATTATATTAGGTTTTCCCAAGGTAATGTATTTTGATTATTTCACATTTAATTCATTTGATGCCTTAATTACACCTACAAATATATTTTTACCTTTGCATAGTTTACTGTAGAGAAGCACATCAGAGGTCCACACGTTCATGGAGATTATAGAGAGTCAGCACCAGGGCACAGTGAACATAGGAGCCATCTTTGAGTTTTGCCTACCATGGTCACATTTCTCTGTCCCTAAGGGCCAGTTTGATCTTTTTGAGACCTATTTTGAAGCTCTGCTAGGGATATCTAGAATAGCCTTCATTTCAGAATATAATTCAGCTTAATTACTACAGGATAACATTTCTAGGGTCTTCTCTAAAAAGCCCACAGATCACCAAGAGCTCTCACTAGCTGACTGGAGCTTTCTTTTTTGGTTCATGTGTCTACACATTGCTTAGTCTATAAGTCCTAGTGTTTTACTCAGCCAAATAGCCTCTGTGAATGCTTAAGAAATTTTAAGGCACTCATCTGTGGATTTCTAGAGTCCTTTTATACTTCTTTTTGAATCTTTTTCAGCATCCTCCAGCCATTTTAGTCCTTCAGAATTTTGATCTTCAACCAATTTATTCACTTTCCTGTCTCTTTTTTTTTTTTTTGGAGAGGTTTTTGCTATAGGGCGCGTGCGCTCGCCAGACAGACAGACAGAGACAGACATAGAGACAGAAAGCGAGAAATTACCCCCCAGGGGGGATGGTCACGCCGCAATCCCTTCTCCATTCTCCTCTCGGGATCTTGGGCATACATGCACACGCGCCCGGTGTGAGTGTTAAGCCACCGAGTCTGGGACGTGAACCGCGGTCGACTACGTGGGAGTCCAACGACATAGCCATTACGCTAACTGTTGGTTCCCACTTTCCTGTCTCTTTTTGAATTCTTCTGTACTCATTGTCTAGAAATTGCATTTAGGCAGAAATCAGAATGATTATAGGGCCTACATTATTTGTTTCCTTTACTCAGGTGTTATAGTCCTGCACTGCCTGTTGTCTATTGTCTGGAAAATTACTATGTCAAGTATTTCGCCCAGCTTTCTAATTTTTCTTTTTTAGAGAGCTTTTTGCTAAAGAGTGTGTGCACTTGTTGGAGAGACTGAGACAGCGAGATAGAAAGCAAGAAATTATCTTCCCATAGAGGATGGCTATGCCACAATCTCTTCTCCATTTTCCTGTCTGGATTTTGGGCATGAATACATATGTCCCTGGCCTGAGTTTTAAGCCTCTGGGTTTGGGACTTGAACCGCGGTTGACTATGTAGGAGTCCAATGATATAACTACTACGTCATCTGCTAGTCCCAGGTTTTTTTTTTTTTTTTTTTTTTTTTAAAGTTTGCTGTAGAGCATGTGTGCTCATCGGAGAGAGACAGAGAGGGTGAGTGGGAAGAAGAGGGAGAGAGAGAGGAGAGAGTGACAAAGAACCTCCTGGGGGGATGAACATATTGCAGCCCCTTTCTCTCCATTCTCCTCCTGGGATTTTGGGCATGCATGCACACGTGTCTGACATGTTTTTTAAGATGCCTGGTCTAGGACTCAAGCTACATAGTTGGCCACGTGGGTTCCATTGTGCCAGCTTTCTAAGTTTTGTTTTACAGTGGGAGATTAAGACATGTGCTTGTTCCATTTTGTCGCAAGTAAAGTGGAAGTATCTACTTTGATTATAAAACATTACTTTTGACCTAAACATAATTTATGTTACCTCATGGAATAATCACTATTGCTGACTTCTGTGTGTAATGGACAAATTTAGGTGCTTTATATCCACTGGTAGTTGGGAGTTCACTAATTAAAGCAATTGAAGGAACTGCTGGTTTAGTTGCATTTTGACAGCCTGTGGTTTGTGTAGTGTTTCAGATTGTGCATATGTAAAGTAAGAAGTTATTTTGTGGCACTACCATATGCAATAATAATAATCTTCTCTGGAGCCAAACTTTTTAATCAACTCATTTTTGATATAAGTGATACCAGGAGTTCATATTTTTTTTCCTATAAAACTGAGCTAGGCATTGAAATTCTTTGAATATGGTACTGGTGTGATTAGTGTTATATTTTAAGACCATTAATCTTACGTAAGTGTGCTGAATGTATTGGAGCAGAGAGAAGGCAGTTAAGGAGGCTAATTAGGAGGTTATTGCTGCAATCCAGGTGAAATGCAGAGAGGACCTAGCCTGAGTTAATGGCTGAGAAAATAGAAAGGAGAAGCCTTATAGAAAGTGAATAAGAGTGGATGAGAAAGTTATAGTGGGTTTTGGGACTCCATTATCAGGCCAGTAATGGAAAACATAAGGGAGCAGTTGGTTTTGAGGTTTTTATTTTGGATAGATTTGTTACATTTAGAGTTTTTGGATGATATTAATGGAGATATTAATTCAGATAGTTGGAGAAATGGGAAGGAGTTTAGAATATTTTGTTACTCAGGAAGGTTTTTGAATAAAGATAAAGGCTTGAGAATGGTTAATGTAGCTCATGTTTGATACATAGGGGGTACTCATTATGAAATTAATTGAAGAGGTCCTGACATGTGATTTTTTCCTTCTATATTGCATATATATTGAGTACTCTGATATAATTAAATATGGAGCTTCTTTTAAACTTGACTTTCTGCTTGCATATGATGCTTAAGAGTTAAGGCTGCAGGACCAGCAGATGGCATAATGGCTATGTGACTGGACCCCCATGTAGTCCACCGCGGTTGGAGTCCCAGACCTGATGGCTTATACTCATGCCGGGCTTGTGTGCGTGCGTGCCCAAGATACCAAGAGGAGAATGGAGGAGAAGGGATTGTGGCGTGGCCATCCATCCCCCTTGGGGGATTATTTCTCGCTTTCTGTCTGTCTGTCTCTGTCTTTCTGGTGAGTGCATGTGCCCTATAGCAAAAACCTCTCCAAAAAAAAAAAAAGAGTTAAGACTGCATTTTTTTCTTACCTCTAGGAGGTGAAGATCGAGAGCTAATTCAGAGAAGGAAAGAGAAATATAGACAAGAACTATTGGAACAAATGGCTGAGCAACAGAAGAACAAGAGACGGTAATGAAAGGTTTGCATTTGAAAGAGATGTTTTGAATTTAAAATGAATTTCTAAACTATTATGATAAAAATAAGTAGCTATTTTGCCTAGTAATATTTTTTGATTTGTAAATCACTTGGATTTAATCTCCATATTGGAAATCTGCTAGGAAAATAAAGTGAATACCATGAGATTGTTCATTTTCTTTGTCATAGGTAACAAATGAGACAACATATATATTCTATACCAGGCTTTTATTTCCTTCATAAAAATCCTTGATTTAGGGTAGCAGTTAATGTAAATTATATGGCCATTTTGCCATGTAAATACAATATGTGGTAACAAATATAAAATTATTTTTATCTTTTCCCAATCTGAAATGGTAAACACACACACACATATACACAACATTAAGAAATTCATATTCTACGGCCAGCAGGTGGCATGGTGATTACGGTACTGGATCTCACATGGCTGACTCTGCAGTTCAAGGCCTGCACCTAGTGGCTTGGAAAAAACATAGGCACTAGTGCATGTGTGCCCCAAATCCTGAGAGAATGGAGGAGAAGGGATTGCAATATGGCCATCACCCCTGGGAAGTAATTTCTCACTTTCTCTGTCTCTGTGTGTCTCCCTGGTGAGCACACATGCCCTATGGCAAAAATCTAAAATAAAAAAATTCATATACTAAATCACAGATCACAGGATTTATATTGTATCCAAGTCTCTATGTTCATAATCTTTCTTGTAAAAATACCTGTGAAATATTATTATAGTTTAAAATTAGAAATAGCAATCTTGATTTTATATAATCTTTTGGTCTGATATTAGCCATCTTTTTTATCTGTTTTTTTTTTGAGAATTATTTAATTTTATTTATTATTATTATAATATTAATTTGCTATATGACATACATTCACAGAGAGAGAGAGAAAATGAGAAAGCAAGCTGCCCAGTCTGGAACTCAAATCCCAGTACCATGTGGGGATCCAGTTCCTTAACCACCATGCTACATGCTGGCCTCCTTTTTTCTGTTTTGTAATTGCAAGGGCTGTGTGCCCCAGAGACAGAGACTGAGGGAGAGGGAGAATAAACTTACCATGGGCATGGTCATGCTGAAATCCCTTTTCCTATCAGATGTTGGGCATGCATATACTTCGGCTCAGTATATTTTTCAAGCTACCAGGGCTCGGATTTGAACCATGGCAGCCATGTGGGATCTGGTTTTTCTTAACCACTAGGCTGTGGGGCTGGCCTGATATTAGCTAACATTAACATTTTTTTCTTAAAAACTCTCGCTGGTAAGTATGGAAGTTATATTTAAAATTTTCCCTTCTTTTTGTGTATTTAAAGTGTATTCTAAGAAATGTTTTTTGTTTTACAAAATAAAGATTTTGTTTTATTTTTATATTTTATTCTGTGTAAATTGCTTAGTCTTTGAAGTACCCTATGGACTGGTTCCGAGATACTTTTTCTAAGTCAGTTATGTGTGAATTCCTGTTTACTTTGTACAAAGCAGGAAATTTGGCTTTTAGTATTATTTAAGGCATTGTCGTCAGTTAAAGGAATAATTTCTATCAGGAGAGTAATTGTATAGATTTTGTGTGTTAATTTTGTTTTAGTGATAATTATAGCTTTGATAGTGTTTATGATAAGTTTTTAATATATAGAACTTTAATTTTGTTTAGAGAAAAAGCTTTAGAACTCAGGGTTGCAGCTTCTGGAGCACAAGACCCTGAGAAATCGGTAAGGATTCTTGGCATCTTTTAATGTTTTACTCTTTCATTCAAGTAAGTCTCAAATATAGTGGCAGGTGGAGATAGAGGATATTGGGTGAATTGTAAGAGTAGACCAATTAGAACAGTGATAAAATCAATTTTTATAAAATATAAATCCTAACTCTTAATTTATGTCTATTTCCCTATGATAATTTTTCCTTTTTTGTGTATCCTTTTTTTTTTTTAAGTTTGTTTTAAATTAGCCCTTTCTGCTTTGTTTATATGTACTGTATCATGGAAAAGTTTTCTCAGTTGAATTTACGATTGATAGTAGTTTTTTTTTTTTTTAAATATATCTTGAACACTTACTTTTCTTATATTAGAGTGACTTTTGAATACATTGAAAACTTTTAATTCTAGTCTTTAAACATTTCAGTAATTGTCATTTAATATAAAACTAGAGAGGTAATAATTTTGTTTTTAACTTTAATTTTGCAATTCTCATCATTAAGTGGAATGAATTACATCATTGCAGTTAAGTAAGGAGGAGGTAACAATTTATTGCTCTTATCATAATAGATTTTTTCTGTAGTTGAATAAATAGAATTTATTTCTAAGGCACTTTTTTTTTTTAATTTCCTTTTTTTTTTGGAGAGGTTTTTCGCTATAGGGCACGTGCACTCGCCAGACAGACAGAAAGAGACATAGAGACAGAAAGCGAGAAATCACCCCCCAGGGGGGATGGTCACTCTGCAATCCCTTCTCCTCCATTCTCCTCTTGGGATATTGGGCACGCATGCACACGCGCCCGGCGTGAGTTTTAAGCCACCAGGTCCGGGACGCGAATCGCGGTCGACTATGTGGGAGTCCAGCAACATAGCCATTATGCTAGCTGCTGGTTCCCTAAGGCACTTTTTTTAAGGCAAGTTTTTATTTCATCTGTAGTGATGGTTAAGATCTTTAATTTTACTGCATCTACTGATACGTCTTGAACAATCTGCTGATGTTCTTATGGTTTGCACTAGCATGCAAGAGAAAAAATTCCCTGCAGTTTCTGTCTGTCTTTGTGGCAATCCAGATTGAATTGGAGAATACATCTGTGAGAAAAAAAAAAAGTCTTTGGGACCGGCAATTAGGGTAACGGGTATGTCGCTGGACTTCCATGTAGTCGACCACGGTTTGGTTCAAGTCCTTAGACTCACACCAGGCGCATGTGTGTGCGTGCCCAAGATCCTGAGAGGAGAAAGGAGGAGAAGGGATTGCGGCTTGGCCATACCCCTGGGGAGTGATTTCACGCTTTCTGTCTCTCTGTCTTTCTGGCTAGCACATGCGTCCTATAGCAAAAACCTCTCCAAAAATAATTTTTAATTTTATTAAAAGTTTATTAAAACGTAGTTAATTCTTAAAAAGCTTACAGTGATTTAAGATTACTCAACTATGGGGCCATCAAGTGGTGTGGTGAAGGTGCTAGATACCACTTAGTCCACTCTGTGTTTGAAGTCTTGGACCTGGAGGCCTGAAAAATCATGTTGGGCATGTGGGCATATGTACCCAGAATCTTGAGAGGAGAATAGTGGAGAAGAGCTTGTGATATGGCCATCGCCCCTAGGGCGTGATTTCTCACTTTCCCTCTCTCTCTGTTTCTCTCTCTAATGAGTACACACGCCCTATGGCAAAAAACTAAAAAAGAAAAAAAGAAATTAACTATAGGCCACTTTTTATTTACTTATTCTAAGGATATATTCTGTAAGCTATCTGTTTCAAAAGTTTTATCCTGCGCCTAGCATCAGTCCCAGTGTACTTCTGTCTGATAATTGCTAATAGAATTTCAGATTAACTTGACAAATTCTGAAGCTAAGTATATTTTATTTTATCAATAAATAACTCTTAAGTATTTCTTACAATTAAAGACTTCCTTTTCAAACCACGAGGTGTTTTCTTTTTTTTTTTTTCCCCCCCAGAGAGATTTTTGCTGTGGGGTGTGTGAGCTTGCCAAAGAGACAGAAAGTGGGAAATCACCCGTTAGGTGGGATGACTGACTGTGCCACAATTGCTTCTCCTCCATTCTCCCCTCAGGATTTTGGGTATGCATGCACATGTGCCCAGTGTGAATTTTTAAGCTACCAGGTCTGGGACTCGAACAATGGTTGACTACTTAGGAGTCCAGCAGCATAGCCATTATGCCATTTGCTGGTCCCCTAAAAAACATGAGCTTTTTCATCTAATGTATTGGCAGTTAAGTTTTGGATTTATGGTCACATTAGTGTGTTACGACCTTACTGATCTTTGAATTGACTCCTCTATGTGAAATTGAATTATGGGAGTGAATAAATTTAGGGAAAATATTAGACTATTACTTCTGGGTTTACTTTTGATTTGCATATCTTAGAAAAGGGCACAGAAATAGTGTTCTAGAGTAGGCATTAGCAAAATTTGGCTTGTGGCCAAATCCATTTGCTGCCTATTTTTGTAAATATAATTTTATTGCAGCAAAGCCTCACTCATTTGTGTTATATATTGTCTATGATTAAGTTAGGTAATTGTGAAACAATTATACAGGTCTAATATATAGAAAGTTGTTCTGCAGAATACCGATATCAGAAATGATAATTGGATACACATGTAATCATTTTTGTACTATAATAGAGAGTATATTTGCAATTATCATCTCGTTTTATTGGGTTGTTGGAAAAATCATGACGTGTTTTTACATAGAAAAACATAGAAAACACGTCATGACTTTTCCAATAACCCAATAGTTTTTGCTTGATTACGTATTAATAATGAGACTTTAGGTAATTATGTACTTCTCAGGGAGCCTTAGTTACTCATTTTTAAAAATAAAAATTAGACATTCAAAATCTTGTGTAACTGTAAAGTTCAGTTATTCTGTGACTATGTTAGTGTCTGATAGTGTGGATGATCTTTCGAGGTCCTGTTAATCTTATGTTCATGATTATTTATACCAGTTTTTTCCCCTTTGTTTTAGCCTGATAGATTAAAGCAGTTTAGTGTGGCACCAAGGCATTGTGAAGAGATGATACCACCTGAAAGACCCAGAGTAGCTTTCCAGACACCTCTCCCTCCTCTATCTGCCCCATCTGTCCCACCCATCCCATCAGCTCACTCCATCCCTCTTCAAAGTGAAGATTTGCACAGTGGACTCAACAGCACCCTTGGTGAACTGGTGCCTCCCAGGTGCTTGTTTAAACTGTTTTGTGTTTGGAAATTAGGTGATGTATCACTCTCTTTTATATTTAGAAGAATGTGCTGGAGAAGATGATAGCATCCTTCAGAGACTTTGTACAATTAATAGCTCTATAGGATAATTTCTTTTGAAATTTGTCTTCATTGTTGATCTTTTCTCTGTTATAAAATTAAGGGACACGCTTATAACATTCTTTCGTTGTTTAAAGATGATTTAGTATTTTTAAAATGAATAAGTGCATTTCAGAAATTAGTTTTAGGTCGTATTTTGGTTATATCTATAACATATAAAATTTATACATTTTCCTCTTTTGTTATTTCCACTTGGCAAACATTGATTCTTCCTTCAGTTTATATACAAAAAACTTCCAATGTGACTCATATATTTGATTTCATTTTAGCTTCTGTTTTCTTAAGTTCTTTCTCTTTGATTACTTAGGGACTATGTGACTCAAATCTCTGAAATAAAAAGTGTCAAGATTATAAAATCTGTTACTTAGGTATTAGAGTGAAGATTTGGTTTCTATGGTAAAAGGCATCACACTATACTAGACTATATATATGTGTGTATGTGTGTGTATGTGTATTTTATTTATATATAGATATATATATCTATATATCTATATATATATATCTATGTATATCCTGTCATTACCACTGATATTTTTCTAGGCTATACTTTCTTTTCTTTATAGGACTTGAAGTTTTATTTTTTTTAAAATTTATTATTAATGCATTAATTATAAAATGATATTTAAATTTGCAGGTGTTTTTCTTAATATTTTTTGAACATTGTTGTTTTCTGGTCAGTGCTTCCCTCTTCTTCCTGGTAGGAGTTGGTCTTATCTTTTATTTACCACTAGCAAGTTGTAGGAATGTTTATCATATTTATCAGGTACTTTCTTTCGTCTATTGGCTTTCCCACTTAGGATCAGGAGGGATTGGAATTACAGAGCATTGTAAAGTGGTCTCAACTTTAGATTAGGATCAAAATGGTGGTATCACTGTCTGGATTTGGGACAAGCCACACCTTTGTTGTGCTGCAGTTTTTCTCATTTGTGAAAGTGGAACAGTAATATTTTTATCTTACCTAAAATTACATGGTTATTTTAAGATTCAATCTTAACACAGATCTCTATGATATTTAATGTTTAGTGATAATGATAGCACCCTTTCATAAAGTTATTTAACTCCTTCATTGATGTATCTTTGCGATGAGGTTAGTTCTGTTAGACACAGTGACTGACTAGTAAATGTGGAAAATATTCACTGCTGGAAAGAACTTTAATGTTTTCCTAGCTCTTTGGAATCATTTTGAGGTATACAACAAGGGAAAATCTATTAAGATACACTCAAAAGTGAAAATATTCTAGACTGCCTCCTTTTTCTTTCTGTTCATCTAAAAGACTTTGTGTTTGCTAATTTTACTATTGGAGAATATTGCATTGGTGGAAATGCAGAGACATTAACTAACCAGTAATAAAGTGCTAGTGGTTTTCAGGTTTTCAGTGTTCTTTTTTTTAAGAGGGATTTTTTTTTTTTTTTTCTGTAGGGTGCATGCGTTTGCTGGAGAGACAGACAGAAAGGGAGAAATTACCCCCAGAGGGGATGGCTATGCCACAATTCCTTCTTCTCCATTCTTCTCTTACAATTTTGGGCACACATGCACACGTGCCTGGTGTGAGTTTAAAGCCGCCGAATCCAGAACTCGAACTGCGGTTGACTATGTGGGAGTCCAGCAATGTAACCATTATACCATCTGCTGGTTCCAGTGTTTTAGTTTTTTACTAAATACTAAAGATTATGTCAGAAGTTTACTGTAGATATTAAGTGATTCTTATTTCACATTATGGTTAGCTTTCTCTGAAGGAGCAACACATTTTATAGTTAAAAAATAAACTTTTTCCTAGTCAAGGGAACCACATGTTTTTTAGTTCTGTGTCTTCTCTTCTTGGATTGCTGTCCTTCTGTGAAGAGCTCACCCTGGCAACCTGGCTGAAGCATCACTTCTCTGTGCTTTCCTGCACTCCCTTATGAGATTTAAATGACCCTGCTCTGTGTTCTGTATCCCTTTGTGTTGAATTTTATTATGTCATTAATTAAACTTGGTTTAATTGTCCATTTATTTCTGCATTATTTCTGAGAAACAGGGACCATGTCTATCTTTGTTTGCTATTGGCACATATCAACTATAGGGTATTAATTGATATTAACCTACGTTTTTGTCTTACATAAGCATACCTGAAATTGTGAAATTTTATTCTATCTTATTTGCTTTTGAAGTCATAGTTTTTTATGAGCAATTGGAACAGGATAATGGCTTTTTCTAAAGTAGCAATTGGATCTTTAATATTTTTGCAAAAGAATAATACCTTGATTAAAAAAATAACAATGGAATATGAGAAGAACTTTTTGCTTTATATTTGATATAGGATTGCACCTCTGCCTCCTCCTCCCCTACTACCACCTTTGGCTGCTAACTATCGAACTCCTTATGATGATGCATACTATTTTTATGGTGCCAGAAATACTTTGGATCCCAGTCTTGCTTATTGTAAGTTATCTACAGAGTGAACATTTGTTTTTCAGTGATCTAATAAGGAAAGTTAGTTGTTATGCAGGCAAAAATATATAAGTGAGAAATGCACAACTTCGCTTAATTCAATTATATATATTTGTTGACTTAGTAAATGCCCTGTTTTAAATAATCATATTTAATAGTTGTTTATTTTTCATGTTAATTTAAGAAATAAGTATTTTGTGCTTTCTTGCTTTGTTCTTTCCTAATTCCTAACTTAGAAAGTATATTGATTCTTTTCCTTGGGTAACATTTTCATTATATACCTTTTCCTTTAGGGATAAAGTGTTATTAAATGAGTTCTCTTTTTTTTAAAGATGGCTCAGGAATGATGGGAGTACAGCCTGCGGCCTATGTTACTGCTCCTGTAACCCACCAGCTACCACACCCTATTGTGTAAGTGGTTAGTTAAGAGAATAGTTTATTTTTTCTTTTCTTTTTATGTCTACTCTTTTTATTGTGTCAAAATACACCTAACATAAAGTTTACCATCTTAACCATGTTTAAGTACAAATATAGTTAACACCACTGAACTGTACATACTTAATATGTTTATAATACTGTGAATGATCACCACTATTCATTTCCAGAAACCTTTTCATCTTGGATACTAAAACTCTATACCCATTAAATAATGATATAGTTCCCCATTTCCTCCTCCTACTTCCTCTGGCAACCAGTACTACAGTGTTTGTCATTTAAAAAAAAAACAGTAAGGTTTGTGTTTTTATTTTTTTATTTTTATTTTTTGAGAGAGGTTTTTGCTATAGGGCACATGCATTCGCCAGAAAGACAGAGACAGAAGGCAAGAAATCATCCCCCAAGGGGGATGGCCATACTGCAATCCCTTCTCCTCCATTTTCCTCTTGGGACTTTGGACATACATGCACATGTGCTCAGCATGAGTTTCAAGCCACTGGTCCAGGACTTGAACTGCGGTTGATTACATGGGAGTCCAACAACTTTTCGTTGACGGGTGTTCGTGGTTTTTTTTTTTTTTTTTTTTTTTTTTTTTTTTCAGAGTTTATCTGTTTATTTCTTGAGGGAGAGAGAGAGAGAAAAAAAGTTACAGGCACTTCCAACAGGGTCTTCATCCCTTCTCATGTGCTTCAGCATCGCAGAGCATTGCATTATGCTGTGCTGCTGCAGCTGGTCCTGCTATCTATGGCTTTGACCATTCCAAGTACTTCATGTGAGCAGAATCATATGATACTTATCTTTTTGTGGCTGTATTATTTTTACCTAGCATAATGAATGAATGTAAGGTTTATCCATGTTGTAGTATATGTCAAAATTTCCTTCCTTCAAAGCTAAATAATATTTCATTGTGCATATATATCACATTTTGTTTATCCATTCATCCATTGATGAAAAATTGGGTCACTTTCAGTTTTAGCTGTTGTGAATAATGGTGCTGTGAACATGAGTGTATAGATGTCTCTTCAAGACCCCATTTTCAATTCTTTTGGGTATATACTCAGAAGTGGAATTGCTGGGTCATATAGCAATTTATTTATTTATTTATTTATTTTAAAGATTTTTACAATAGGGCACATGCGCACAACAGAGATACAGAGAGGCAGAAAATGAGAAATCACCCACCAAGGGAGATGACCATGCCATAGTCCCTTCTCTTCCATTCTCCTCTCGGAATTTTGGGCATGTACACACATGTGCCTGGCATGAATTTCAGGCTGCCGGGTCCTATACTCAAATTGTGGCCAAACACCTGGGGGTATAGTGCCTTAACTACTACACCACTACTGGTTCTGGCAATTTGGTTTTTTAATTTTTGAAGAATTGCCATGCTGTTTTTTGGCAGTAGCTGTACCATTTTACATTCCTATCATCAGGGCATAAGGGTTCCAATTTTTTCATATCTGTACTTGGTCGGGGGAGAGAGAGGGAACAGAAAGCAAGAAAGCACTCCCCATGTGGCATGGCCATACTGCTGTCCCTTCACCTCTATTCTAAGGATTCTGGGAACACATGGCACCTGTTCCTGATGTGTGTTTCAAGGTGCTGGATCTGGTACTTGAGTTGCACAGTTGGCCATGTGGAATCCAGCCACCTTAATCATCATTCCACTGGTCTATATAGTGTTATTTTTTTTAAAAAATGTAATTTATTTCTTCTGTGAGGGAGAGAGACAGCACTCTCAGCCAGGCTTCTGCCACCACAATTCACTCTGAGCCCCGGCTAGCTTCGGATCATTGGCATGTTTGTGCCCAGCATGCTCAGGGTTATCTCAGGGTGAAAACCTGGAACCCTCCCTCGTTGCTTAGCCATGCAGAACATCATGTTTTATTGCTGCATTACTGCCTGGCCTTGTTTATATCTCGTATCTCTTTTTTGATTTTCTGTGTAGTTGCTCTCTTTATTATTAGAAGTGGGCTATTGAAATTCCCCATTGTTTTTTTATTTTATTTTATTGTTTTAAAGACAGATTTTATCTGTGTCAAACTTACCCTGCTGTATGGCTGCCTGATTCTCTGGAATTACAGGCGTGGATCACTGTACTTGACCTTTAAATTGGACTGGGAATTGAATCTGGGCTTCCCATGTAGTCCCATCCTGTGGAGTACAGCAGCTTGGCGGTACGCGCCACTGTGGCTGAGTATACAACTATTGTTTTCATATTCTTTCTTTCTCTCTATACTTCTGTCAGTGTTTGTTTCCTCTGGTTTAAGCTGTATTGTTTTGCCTTACTAATGTTTTGGCCTTTTTATTAGTATAAAAGATACTTCTTTGGGGCCAGCAGGTGGTGTAGTGGTTAAAATGCTGCACCTCCTACATGGCCGACCATGGTTCAGGTGGAGTGCTAGACCCAGTGGCTTGAAAGTCAGGCTGGGTGTGTGTGCACGTATCCCCCAAATTCTGAAAGAGTGGAGGAGAAGGGATTATGCCATGGCCATTCCCTGGAAGGTGATTTCTCACTTTCTTTCTCTCTGTCTCTCTGGCTAGTGCATGCACCCTATAGCAAAAATCTCTCTCTAAAAAAAAAAAAAGAAAAAAATAATCCTCCTTTGTCTCTACTAACAATTTTTGTCTTATAATGTATTTTTTCTGATAGAAATGTTGCTATCCTGTTTCTCTTCTATTTACATTTGCATGATAAGTAGTTTTCCAGGCTTGCCCTCAATTTGTCTTTGCATGTAAAAGGTGTGTGTGTAGACAGGATACAGTTACATCCTTGTTTTAACTTATTTTAGTATTTGACTCGGGACCAGCAGTTAGGGGAATGGCTATGTGGCTGAACTCCCATGTAGCTGATTGCAGTTCGAATCCCGGATCCAGTGGCTTAAACTCACACCAGGCACATGTGCATGTGTGCCCAAGATCCCGAGAGGATAATGGAGGAGAAGGGATTGCGGCATGGCCATCCCCGCTGAGGGGTGATTTCTCACTTTCTATCTCTCTGTCTCTCTCTGTCTTTCTGGCGAGTGCACATGCCCTATAGCAAAAACCTCTCCAAAAAAAAAAAGATATTTAACTTATTCTGCCAGACTTTCCTAATATTTACATTGATTGTAATTCCTATTAAGCCACTTTACACCTGGAATTTTGTTGCTTTTTTAAATAGGTCTTTTGTCTTTTTTATTCCTCAAATCCTTCCTTACTCCCTTTTTTAATGTTAAGAGTTTAATAGCATTTGTTTTTAATTCATTTGTTTCCTTTAATGTATTTTCATTTCTTTAATGGTTTCCCTGCAGATTAAAATTAACACTTAATTTAGAATAATTGATTTTAGATTAATAAAAAATTTATTATTATTATTATTTTTTTGGAGAGGTTTTTGCTATAGGGCACATGCACTCACCAGACAGACAGAGACAGAGAGACAGAAAGCAAGAAATCAGCCCCCAGGGGGGATGGCCATGCCACAATCCCTTCTCCTCCTTTCTCTTCTTGGGATCTTGAGCACAGACGCACAAGTCCCCAGAGTGAGTTTAAGCCATTGGATCTGGGACTCAAACCGCGGTCAACTACATGGGAGTCCAGTGACATAGCCATTACTGTCACTGCTGATCCCAATACCAACTTAATTTTAATAGTGTAAAAACTTTCCATTATAATGCCGTTTCTTCCCCTTTCCTTGATTCCATTATTGTCATACAAATTAATCTATATATATTGGAGCCCATTCACACAATTATATAATTATTTCCCAAAAAAAAGTCGCCTTTTGAGTCACATAGAGAAGAATGAGTTTACAAATGTAGCTGTAATATATTCTGCATTTACCTGGGTAGTTCCTTTTTTGCTTTTGTTTTTTGTTTTTGAGAGGCTTTTGCTATAGGTCACGTGTGCTTGCCAGAAAAACAGAGTGAAGTTATAGAAGAATTCAGTTAACATAATCAACAAGCTTATTCTCAAGGAGATATACAAAAAGGTACTCCAAACTTGGCAGAATATATGTAGTTTTTAATTTCATAGGAATAATTATAATATTTATCACATCCTAGTTCTTCAGGCACACCTCAATACATTTTAGTGGATTGATAGCCTATGGACCATTTAGGCTAGGAGTTCATTTTTAAAAAATAAAGTATCTTTGTTGAAAATTAGAAAACAAAGAGGGAGTTAGAAGATATATAAGGGGTGAAAATACAATAAAGATCATGCATCTAAGAATTGAAAAAAAGAACAGTAAAGTAAACCTAAAGAAGTAAGGAAAAAGGTAATAAAATGACTACAAATTAATGAAATACAAATGTATAGTATAAAGATTTAAGTTCTCTGATTGAATGAAAGAGGTATAAATAAATGTTAACAATGAAAAATGAACCATCAGTATAGTTATAGTAAGCCTTAAAAAGCTAATAAGGAGGGCAGCAGGTGGCATAGTGGTTAAGGCGCTAGACTCCCACATGGTTGACTGGTTCAAGTCCCGGAACCAGCAGTTTGAAACTCATGCCAGACGCTTGTGTGTACGTGCCCAAAATCCAGAGAGGAGAGTAGAGAAGAAGGGATTGAGGTGTGGCCTTCTACCCTGCAGGGGTGATTTCTTGTTTTCTGTCTCTCTGGTGAGCTCATACACCCTATTGTAAAAATCTAAAAGAAAAAAAAGATAATAAGGCTATATTATGAATAATTTTATGCTGAGGAATTTGAAAATTTTGGTTTAGAAAAATTTGTGTTAAAGGTGTGCCAGCCCCATAGTGGTTAAGTGCCTGTGCTTTGGGAACTGGATCCACATGATCTACTGTGGTGTGCCCTGGTGGGCTGGAAAACATAATGGTATGTGCGTGTGTGCCACAAATCCTGATGGGATGGAGAAATGGAGGAAAAGGGGTTGTGCTGTGACCATGTCCTGTTGAGAGTTGCTTTCCTTCTCTGTCTCTCTCGTCCTCTGGGGGAAACATTTTAAAAAATGAAAACCAAGATGGTGCAGG